CTTGGCTTCGATGGTGTGTTTAAAGTTGATAGTGTGGGGACGAAGGGAAGATTAGCTTTACTGTGGAGAACGAATGGAACGGCAAGCCTGTTGAGTTACTCTAAAAATCATGTGGATATTGAGGTAACAATGCCGGGGTTTGACAAGTGGAGGATGACAGGGTATTATGGTTATGCGCAAAGAGAAAGACGGAATGATTCTTGGGAATTCATCAAGTCCTTATCACATCGCTCTGAGTTGCCATGGGTTATTATAGGGGATTTTAATGATCTCTTATATCAGTATGAGAAGCGAGGGGGGAATCCCCATCCAGAGGCACTATTACGTGGCTTCGGAGAGACTATTGATGAGTGTGGGCTAGCTCAATTACCTATGCAGGGGTACCCGTTTACCTGGGAAAGAGGAGAGGGGACAGTAGACTGGATTGAAGAAAGATTGGATAAAGTGCTGGTCACGCAGGAATGGCGAGATGTGGTGAGAGAGGCAAGTGTCTTGAACATTCTAACCCGACGCTCAGATCATTCTGCTCTTTTCCTTGGGATTCTGAATCTTCGGGAAAGGACGGGTGGTGGGAGAAAAGGGTTCCGGTTTGAGATGGCCTGGCTTCATGATGAGGGTTGTAGGAGTGTGGTTGAGACGACATGGATTGAAGGAAGAGATAGAGGTTTACAAGCCTGTATCGAATTATGTGGTAATAAGTTATTGCGATGGGGAGGTGATAAATATCATAGGTTTGATGAGAAATTGCGGTGCCTACGCAAGGAACAATTGCGGTTACGGGGACGCACAGATCAAAATTCATTAGCTGAGTATAAGCAGTTGGAGGAACACCTGGCCCAATTAGAAGCTCAGGAGGATGCCTTTTGGAAACAGAGGGCGAAACAACACTGGCTGAAGGGGGCAGACGCGAATACAAAGTTCTATCACAGGTATGCCTCTCACCGTAAAAAGAAAAACACAATTTCAAAAATTATGAATGATAATGGGGATTGGGTGGAGGGAGATGCCATGAAAACAACTATTTTTGATTATTATCGAGATATTTTCTCGTCAAACCAGTCCCAGATGGATGAAAGTTTTTATGCCAATATCTTGCCCCGGGTGACACACACGCAGAATGAAGAGTTATTGCGCCCCTTTGAAAAGGATGAGGTGAAAACAGCTTTGTTTGCTATGTTCCCGGATAAGGCACCCGGCCCGGATGGAATGAATCCGGGTTTTTATCAGCAGTTCTGGGATGTGGTGGGAGGAGATGTGTCGGATTTTATTGTGGACTGTTTGAATACACGGACCTTCCCAGCCAACTTGAATGATACGGATGTGGTTTTAATACCGAAGAAGAAAAATCCAGAACGGGTCACGGACCTCAGGCCTATAGCGCTAAGCAATGTGATTTATAGAATTATGGCTAAAATGATTTCAGCCAGGATGAAGCCACTCATGGATGATATTATTTCTGATAGACAGAGTGCATTTATACCTGACATATTGATTACAGATAATATTTTGATAGCGGCAGAGGTTGGCCACTTTCTGAACAGAAAACAATGTGGAAAGGTGGGATGGGGTGCTTTAAAGCTGGATATGGCGAAAGCGTATGATCGTATGGAATGGCCTTTCCTACGAAACATGTTAACAGCTTTGGGCTTTAGTAATATATGGGTGGAGTTAATCATGTTATGTGTGACTACTGTGTCATATAATATCAAACTGAATGGAACCCGAGGTTTGCCAATCATCCCATCTCGCGGACTCAGGCAGGGAGACCCATTATCCCCGTATCTATTTATTATCTGTGCAGAGGGACTATCTTTATTGCTACAACAGGCACAGATTCAGGGAGCAATTCATGGGTGCAGAGTTGCAAGGGGTGCACCTTCTATTTCACATCTATTCTTTGCTGATGACAGCCTACTATTTTTTAAAGCAAATGTGCAGGAAGCAAGTGCGATAAAGCAGTGTTTGACACGGTATGAAAATTTATCTGGCCAAGTGGTAAATTATCATAAGTCCAGCATATGTTATAGCAAGAACACACAGGATGATAGTAGGGAGGAAGTGGCGCAGATACTGGGGGTTACTCAGGCACCAAACTTTGGAAAATATTTGGGACTACCCTCATTTGTAGGGAGAAATAAAAAAGCAGCCTTTTCATATATTGAGGATAAGATAAGGCAAAGAATCCTATCTTGGAATAAGAAATTGTTATCGCAAGCTGGTAAGGAAGTCTTGTTGAAAAGTGTGGCTCAGGCAATGCCCACCTTTTCAATGAGTGTCTTTTTATTACCTATGGGGATTTGCACAGCTATTGAGCGAACAATGAACCGGTATTGGTGGGGATCTGGGAATGAACGAGGAATCCATTGGAAGACATGGGACAAATTGTGTATACCAAAAAAGTATGGTGGCCTGGGTTTTAAAGAACTGCACGCATTTAATATAGCAATGCTGGGCAAACAGGCATGGCGCTTGTTAACAAAACCTGACTCTCTGGTCTCACGAGTTTACAGAGCGAGATATTACCCAAAAGGGACCTTTTATGATGCCAAGGTAGGAAATAACCCCAATTTCTGTTGGCGTAGTATAATGGCAGCTCAGAGCATGATTTGTAGCGGAACGAGGCGCAGAATTGGAAATGGAAAGACAACTCTCATCTGGGACCACCCATGGTTACAAGATGAACACGACCCAATGGTTCATACTGATAAGCCCCCATATTTAAATAATGCAGCAGTGTTGGGATTAATTGATCATGAGACACAAACCTGGGATCCGGATATTTTGGCAGATATTTTTATTCCTACGGATGTGGCTAGGATAAAAAGGATTCCAGTATCACCGGACTATGAGGATATGTGGTATTGGCATGGTGATCAGGGAGGTAATTATACTGTTAAGAGTGGCTACAAAGCAGTTGTGGGAGATCTCAATGATAATACATGTACGCATAATTGGTTACGCCTATGGAAATTAAAAGTTCCCCCCAAATGGAAGACATTCTTGTGGAAGGCTTTGAGTGGTATCCTCCCTACTACAACGAATTTGATTATAAAGAGAGTGGAAATCCAACCAACATGTGCTATGTGTGGAATAATGGATGAAGACACAATGCATGCTTTAGTAACATGTGGTTATGCAAGTTCCATTTGGGCTCAATCTCACCTTCCAATCCCCATGATAGCAACAAATATTTTTCATACTTGGTTTAGTGAGCTATTAAATATTTTAGACACTAACCAAATTGTTCACGCAGCTGCAATATTATATCATATTTGGAGAGCCAGGAACGGAGCGGTATGGGATGCGTGTCTACCGCGACCACGAAAAGTGTTAGCCTTGGCCGAAGCAACCGCACTTGCATGGCAAAGAGTCCACCACACCCACCCACAAACGGACCAAGGGGCTGCCGCACAAAGCAGTGCTACTGCCACTGCCGTGACACGGCAGCAGCAGCACTACAACACGGCAAATGCCGTGACTGCTATGGGGATCGCCCAAGAGGGCGCACGGAACGAGCCTGCCGAGCCGAGACGGAGATGCTATGTCGATGCTGGATTCATGCCAGCTACAGGAAGGGCTACGGTTGGCGCGGTTTTGTTCGACGAGGAAGGGGGATATGTATCGGCATTCAGTGCACCCTTGTCAGATTGTCTGTCCCCGCTTATGGCTGAAGCAATAGCATGTAAGGAGGCCTTGTCTTGGTTATGGAATCGTGGAGAGCGCTCAGTACACATACTCACAGATTGTTTGACCCTGCAACAGTATTTGACAAATCAAGCTATCACTGTTCGGACTTACGTTGGCTATGCCATTGATGCTTGTAGAGCATGCATTATTTCTTTTGATTATTGTTCAGTTAATTTTATTCCTAGATCAGAGAACTATTTAGCACATAGTCTAGCGGCTACTGCATTTAATTCTTCTACGATTATGTATTCGGACGATGTCCCTCCAGACTCTATTTCTGAGTACCTTTAATATATGCCTTATTGGCCACCTTTCAAAAAAAAAAAAACCATAAATATTGTTAGATATGAGCGAAAAAAATATGTATAACAAAATATGAAACATAATTAATTTGATAAAAATTCTAATAGAAAACACATTATAAATTACACATTTTATTATCAATAGAAAACACATTATAAATTACACATCTGAAGTTAGCCGTAAATATTGTTAGATATGAACAAAAATTAAAGAAAATATTTATAACAAAATATAAAACATAATTAATTTGAAAAAATAATTCTAACAGAAAAGACATTATAAATTACACATCTTATTATTAATAGAAAACACATATTTTAAACATGCGTTTACGCCATAAGCCAAAATCAAACCCCTAACCTTCCTCAAATTACACGCACATTCTACCACCTGGGCTAACTTCACTTTTGTTAATATGAGCTGTTTTCATCTACTTATACTTAAACCTTGTACTATATATACATACATATATACATACCAGGATTATATATGGGGTGGGGGTGGGGTGAGTGGGGTCAGCTGCCCCCACTGTAGGTCCGCCCTTATTTGAGACTAAATTTAAAATTCTCACCAAAGACAAAGGACCTCCGGTGGAATTAACTCTTTTTTTTTAATTAACGTAACATATATGTATATCAATATCAATAATAATTCCCAGCCTACGATGTGAATCGAAGTATGAACTACACAATCGGGTATTATTTCATTTCACACTTGAACATATATGGGGATGAAAATTCCATTTGTTTTGAAGCAAATAATTCCAATATTATAGTGACATATATAGGTGTGGAAGTAAGAATAATTAAGATAGAAATAAAATGACGGCAAGGCAGCTAGCTAGGTAATTAATTAAGTCTACGGGTAAGTCTTTGTTTTGAATGTCCCACCACCATATATGTTGTCACAACTTAACCTCTTTATTAGCATCATCATATTATTATTAAGCCGGTCGTCAATGCAAGTCCCTCTCCGACAGGCTAGGGGTCCCAACACTTAAACATTCTCAG